GCTTGCGGAGCCGCCTCTCCCCGCAGCGTCCTGCCCCTGCCCCGAGCCTGTCACTCGGCCCCCGGCAGCGACAGCCAGCACATGGCTGTGTGCAGGGAGCTCGCAGGGCCATTGCATTGCGCTGCCTCTGGCTTCGTTCGCAGTTCGCTGAGCTCTGCCTGGAGAGCCAGAGCCGCTTCGTGACCGCTTTAGAAAGAAAATAAAAAATCGAAGCGAAAAAGCAATCAAAAAAAAAGCCAACCAAATCTTTCGCACCAGAGGTGGTGGTTGCACTTTGCCAGACGGGACTTGCGGCAAGGACCATGCGGTGAAGCCGAGCGCCGGAGCGGGACCGCAGCCCTGCACTCTGCGATCGCAAAGGGAAATAAACAGCCGGAGCAGGAGCCGCGCACCCGCCGCCTCTTCCCCGAGACCTGCATCGCAACAGCCCCGCTGCCTGCCGCAGCCTGCAGCCGCCTGAGGCTCGATCCAGAAGCTCCGCTTTGCAGGAAGGGCTGGATTTGCTCCCCGTTGCCTCCGGACCGAGAGAGCTGCGGCCGAATGAGAGAGCCCCTTCCCCGGGCGGCCCGGGCTGCTGCATGCTGACCCCCGGGAGAGGGGAGCTGCGGTGGGCAGCAGAGCGGGGCTTTTCTCCGCTGGCCCAGTAGGACGTGGAGATCGGCGAGCGAGGGCTGTGCGGGGACGAGGAGCGCAGCCCGCCGGCCTTCCCCGCCCCGGGGGCCGGCAGAGCGAGGAGCCGGGGCCCCGCCGCCCCCCGCCCGCTGGATTTGCCGTTCCCGGTGGCTCCCTGCGCATCAGTAAGTTGGGACCCGCCGTGCGCTCACACCGGGGCCGGCGCTGCCGCAGCGAGCAGGTGCCGCGGGGCGCTGCGGCGCCCGCCCGGCGAGGGGCGGCCCCGACCACCCTCCCACCGTCCCCCTCCCGGAACGGAGGCACCGGGCTGCTGCGGGAAGGCTTGCTGGGAACAGGGGCCGGCTGCGAATGAGCAGAACGTCAGAAACACCCCCCGAACGCTTCTCGCAGGTGGGGGCCGGAGGGGCTGAGGCGGGGGGTGCTGAGCCGCATCGCGGGGAACCCCCGGCGTTGAGCGGCCGCTCGGCTGCCGCTTTAAGCGCCAGGTAATCCGCCCTCCCGAGGCTGCGCCGGGCTAAGATCTGCCTTCCCTTGTGGAAGAGAGAGAGAGAGAGAGAGAAGGAGGGAGAAAAAAAAAAAAGCCTATGTTTTCATTCATAACTTTTTTTTCTTCCCCTTTTCCCCTCCTCTTCCTTCCTCCCCGTCAGCGCCGTGATCCGCTCCGCTCCGCTCGGGGCGCAGAGGGCGCCGCGCCGCCGCCGCCCGCCCGGGGCTGCGGGGAGCGGGCGGGACGGGGGGGGGCTGGCGGCGTGTCCGAGCGAGTGTGGAGAAGGGGAGGGAAGCGGGATTCCACCCCCGAGGTGCGGGGAGGGAGCGCAGCCCCGGGTGCAGAACCGTGAGGTTCTCTCTCTCGCCGCCTGCGCCGTGCGTTATTTTATTATTTTGTTTTACTCATTTTTATTTTACTGTCCGTGGTGGGGGAAGCAGTTTACGAGCGATGTGCTCGGGGGTGGAGGTGGCTGGTTCAGCTCTCGCCCCGGTCTGCAGCTGGGCTTGTCAGTCTGCGCCGCGTTGATGTTGCGCTTTCCCCCCAGAGATGGCACTGGATGTCTTTCGCATTTTCTTGGGATATTGTTTTTCATCCCCTAGGGAGCCCAGCTCCTGGCTGGTACAGCTGTAAATCTTTCCCTTTTCGCATTCATTCACCCTTGGTCCGTTGTGGATTTGTATTCAGTGCTCGTGAAGAAGGCGGCTTGTTGTGTAGGAGCAAATTCTCTGCTGGAGGGTGGTGAGGCACTGGCACAGGAAAACGTGAACGCCCCATCCCTGGAAGTGTCCAAGGCCAGGTCGGATGGAGCTCTGAACCACCTGGTCTAGTGAAAGGTGTCCCTGCCCATGGCCAGGGGCTTTGGGACTGCACAAGTCTCTTAGGTCCCTTCCAACCGAGCCGTGATTCTGTTCTGTGAATTAGAAATGAGAGTGTTTGGTTTTCTGTTTAATCTGGTGACCACAAAGCCCACACAGGTGATGTTAGATGTAAAATGAAATCTTTGGTTACTGGATGAGGACAAAGACTTTGTGTCATGGCAGAAGCTGTCAGTTTCTGCCCATGGTGACTGCCTGCCAGAGGAAACCTTTCCTCTTCTTGTTCTTTCTGTGCTTCCACACCACTGCACCTTTTTCTCTCTGGAATGGAGAACAGCTCCGTTCTGGCTGTGCTCTGGGTAGGCGAGACACTTTCTTAGGATTATTGGATGAGTTTTTGAAACGCTTGATAGCGCTTACCTTTCCCTGCTCTCAGGTAAACAGGGCATCCTGGGGGGGAGTGAAAAGGTACTTTTTCTTTGGCTTGACAGTAAAGCAAAGCAGATTGTTGTCCTATTTCCCTACATAAATGAGGCACTTGGTTACATTTTCGTGTAGGTGCAGAACTGTCACTGCAGTTTTCTCAGTCAGTGTTGCAATCTTCATGTCTCTAGCTAGGCGGGATGGAAATGTTTAACATCCCTACTATTCCCTTACTATTTATAAAAGATAGATGAGCAGATATTCTGTTTATTTGAGAAGCTTTTGGTCTTGTGAAAATGGATTTGTTCTTTGTGTTCTGAGGTTGTTGTTGAGGGGTTTTTATCTGCTCTTATTCTCATGAATCCTCAGGTGCTTTTTGTTTGACATCTAGTTCATCTAAGCCTTTTCTACCCCATTTTTCTTTCACACTCCAGCCTGTGGTCAGGAAATATTTGAAAGCAGGTTGTTTGCACCCTTGTTTTAATTTTATAAAGGAGCATATTAGATGTGTAGGCTGAGTTGCTTTCTCACAGAAAATGTCTTGGCCACTTGACAGCACTTTGTTCAGGACTCTGTAATGCACATACGTCACTTTAAGAGGGAGACTTTCCAAATGCACTAGGAAGCAAATCTGTGGAGCTTTCTGATGCTGCAGATTCAGGCAGCAGAGTGAGAACTCTGCTGGTTCCTCACTCTGCCATACGAAACATGAACGTGGTGGTGTTCTTGGCTCTTTCCAGCTCAGTGTCGGGGGCATTCGGAACTGCTGTTGCTAGAGATAGATGTTGAGTTCAGTAGCATGGGAGAGGCACTTCCCATGGCTTGCCAAGTCAGCATACAAGTTAATACTGGATTTTTAAACTTTGTAAAATTTTTTTTTAAAATGGCATGGGGTCTCCTTTGCATTCCTCATCTATGATGCCATACCCAGACTCTCCCCCATTACTGGACTTCGGCCAGATCCTCAGCACTGCTGTAATCCCGTGCTGAAAGTGATCAGTACCAGGTGGCTGGGGCAGTTTGGGCTTTGCCAGATCATTTCTGTTTTCAGAAAGTATCCCACGCTCCATCCCTCCGCTGCCCTTGATCTCCTGTGCGTGTGTATATGTACGCACACGGTGTTTATTTACGCCTTCTGTCTCCTTCCTCATTTCAGGATTTCAGATGCATGCCAGGTTCCCGCTGAATGCCAGCAGCAGAGATCCCTACAGATGGAGCCCCAAAGTCAGCATGGCAGCGGCGGCTCCCTGGTGGTGATTCAGCAGCCCTCCCTGGACAGCCGGCAGCGCTTGGACTATGACAGGGACAGCCAGCCCACCACCATCTTGTCACTGGACCAGATCAAGGCCATCAGGGGCAGCAACGAATACACCGAGGGGCCGTCGGTGGTGAAAAAGTCGGGTCCGCGGACGGCGCCGAGGCAGGAGAAGCATGAGAGGACTCACGAGATTATACCGATTAATGTGAATAACAACTACGAGCACAGGCCCGGCCACGCGGGGCACGTGGCGCATCAGCATAACGCCAGGGCTCCCGTCCTGAGCCGATCGACCAGCACGGGCAGCGCGGCCAGCTCCGGCAGCAACAGCAGCGCCTCCTCGGAGCAAGGGCTGCTGGGGCGCTCGCCGCCCTCCCGGCCGGGCTCCGGCCACAGATCAGACCGGACAATCCGGGCGCAGCCCAAGCAGTCGGCCCTGATCGTGGACGATCTGAAGGGGCCTTTGAAAGAGGACTTGACGCAGCACAAGTTCATCTGCGAGCAGTGCGGGAAGTGCAAGTGCGGGGAGTGCACGGCGCCGCGGGCCCTGCCCTCCTGCCTGGCCTGCAACCGGCAGTGCCTGTGCTCGGCCGAGAGCATGGTGGAGTACGGCACCTGCATGTGCCTGGTCAAAGGGATCTTCTACCACTGTTCCAACGACGATGAAGGGGACTCGTACGCGGATAATCCCTGCTCCTGCTCCCAGTCACACTGCTGTTCTAGGTACCTGTGCATGGGAGCCATGTCCTTGTTCCTGCCTTGCTTGCTCTGCTACCCTCCGGCCAAAGGATGCCTAAAACTCTGCCGGGGGTGCTACGACCGTGTCAATCGTCCGGGGTGCCGGTGCAAGAACTCCAACACGGTCTATTGTAAACTGGAGAGCTGCCCCTCCCGGGGTCAGGGCAAGCCCTCATGATTTTGGGAGGGAGGTTTACTTCCTCCAACTTCAGTTTTTCAGGTTGTAGCTGATTTTTTTTTTTTTTCCCCCCTCCCCCCATCTTTTCTTCTTCCCCCCTTCCTCTCCCAATTTGGGAGGACTGTTCCTTTCCTTTCTGTCTGCCCAACTTCAGACACATGAGTTCATCCCCTTGCATCTTTGCTCTCCTCCTCCTACTGATTTGGCTGAGTGTGGAGCGTTTCACGCAGTCGCTGCTGCTCTTTGGTAAGTGTGGACCTGGGATCTGCACCTGCCGCTCGCTGGGGCAGGGTCTTTGAGTTTGCAACTGAACCACTCCTGAAAGAGACAGTGAGGGCTCACTGGGCTCTTGAAGCTTCTTGCTCTGTGAATATTTTCCCAAAGATGTCTTTTTTGTTTGTTGTTTTTGTTTTTTTTTTTGTTCTCAGCAAGTTATGTTTTTTTTCTCCTTAACCTCCCGGGTGCCAAGGAAGAGTAACTTCCCTGAGTGAGCTGGATTGTGAAATAACTTTTTGTGTGTGTTCTTTCTGGAGAGGGATGTAAAATAAAGGCTTCACCAAATGAAAGGCCTGACTCTTCTATAAGCAGCCTGCTTCTTTTTGCATCTTTTTTTTTTTCCACCCCCCTCTCTTTTTGTCTTAACTTTTGGAGCATTCTCAGGTCTGAGAATTGCCCTGCCCTGTTTTTCTTCATTTTTTCTGTTTTACATTTTCAATGTAACTTCAGTTTTTGCTACACTGTGCAGATCTTCACATTGGAGACATTGTGGCTGCAACATACTCATATGTTTCTTTTGCTGTCCAGTCTTTGAAGGATATTGCTCACTCCACCCTCCTAATCCCGTTTTTATAGTCTGTCAGTATCAGTTGATATTAAAGTTGGTGGTGTTCATATATCCAAACAGCCTTCAGGTGTCATTGAGTCACCTAAACGTTCTTGAATCCTTCAAGTCTCTTGTGATCCTTTGGCTTAGTGAGTTTAGCTCTGCTCTGTACTTTATAATTTTATTCTGTCCCTCTTTTATTGCCTTAGCCACAAATTGTGGTCCTTTTTTGTATATTTTATGTATAAAACACAAAGTTGAATCCCAACTATTTTTAAGACAAAAGTCTGTTAAAACTTTTTTTATTGTAAAGAATATTTATTATGTGAATCTCTATTATTTTATGATATTTATTGCAAAAGACTTCGAAAATGTACTCATGTCTGAATATAACAAAATATCAATACTTAACGAAATAAGGATGACACGAAGAAAGTACATATGTTAACTATAATGCAGAAAATATATTAATTAATGAAAACGCCTCTGGAGTTCTTTTGTTACAATGACAGGTTGTGAGCTACGTGTGTGTATTGCTGGGCTGTTCCTCCTTCAGGTCTGTCAGGTGGCAAACAACCTCCTGTTGGTACTTCAAAGCCACTAGTCTGTGCTCTAGTTTAGTTTACCTAATCTTAAGTTTAAGCCAACTATATATCAAATAAGGGATATTTAATACAATTGAATCTGTGTTGTGCTTAACAGTGCCAAGAAATGGAGGCTCTATTTATTTACCAAAGAATTTGGAAATACAGTTGTGGAGGAGGAAACCACAACTTCCAAGTTGTTTCTTTGTTGTTTTTTTTTTTTTTTATTTTTTGTTTTTTCTTAAGGAATACCACATTAACATGCAAAGCCATTTAAAATTTTCCTATATGGAACTTCCTGTCTGGTTAAATTGTGCAGCAGCTGAAGAAATGAATCTTCCCAGCTGGATTTTAAATAAAAAACCTGGAGGCAGGATGAAAAACAGTGATTGTGTTGCTGTAGTTTGGTAGCTTTGAAATCTGGGAATGTGTGTGCACGCCTGGGCCCACGTCTGTGACTTATTTGGTTGTTTTCCCATACGTTTTCCAATGTCAACTGAATCTTCTGTCTTTAAATTAAAGGCTCTTAAGGGTGACCTAAGTGTCACAGCTACTTGTGGCCATTTAACACACATTCCACAGAAAAAGCTTTTCATTAAGAGTGAATGGGGAGACCTCATTCTTTTCCTCATGTGGGTCAAGGTTACATCACAATTCTCCTGAACTTTAAAAGTTTTAAATGGATGCAGTTTCACATGGTGTTCAGAGTAAGTGGTTCTAGAGAAGCTCCACTTCAGAACAGAGCGATGACTTGACAAATGTGTCATATCTTGCTCTTTTTTTAAATCCTGCTGCTTTGAGTTGCCATATTCAAGCTGCTCTGACTCCCAGCACGGTGATGATTTGTAGTTAATTCCATGCCAGCTGATGCAGTGTCACCCAACGGAGCTGACTGAAAAGCTGCTCTTTTATTAAGCAGCACAGATGACCCCTGAGAGGCACAAAGTGAAATCATCATCTGAGTGCGTCTGGGAACGCTTTGCAGGATGCGGCTGGTGCTGCTCCTCTGTGTGACACAAATGACGGGCTGGGGGGGGCTTGTGGGGCAGCACCGGATGCACACGGATTCTGCTGTCCAAGATTTCCCGAGAGGAAGCAAAGCCAGGAGAGGAATGTTCCCGAGGAACAGGGACTTGCACTCCTTCGCTATCACCGCGCGTCTCGAAGAGCGACAGCTGCAAGTGGCCCCGCGGACACAATGGAGGCCTTGTCCGGCGCTGGCCAGAGATGTCCACTGGTAACTGTGCGCTGACACCCGGGAACACGGAGCCAACTGCCTCCTCACAGCTGGATCACAGACAGCTCCTTGCTCGGGGCCTTTGCTCCAAGGGCGCTGCTTGTGCCTCCTCAAGGAAAACGTTGCCCTCTGTACCACTGTCTCTTTTTTATTCCAGCCAGGTGACTTATCTGGGGGCTTGGGTTGGTTCCTAGCAGAAGAGAAGAAATCCCAAAGGACCCACGTGTTCTCCATCCTTTAGTGATTGTCCTCCATCAGGAGCTGTGTCGTGGCACTATTTCAGATCTCTTTTTTAAAACAAAAGCTACGCTCTAGTTAATCATACTAGTGCTCCCTTTACTAACCAGATTTTGGGAATAATCTGAGGTTGCAGCTCCTCTGGAGAAAAAATTGATTTGGACCTACACAGCAAAGAGATGAAAACAGTTCCTTGCAGGTCTTACATGGTTTTCTAATTGCCAGGTAGAGCAGGTAGTGTTAGAAAAATGAGAACAATGTATTTTTCTCTTGGGTTAGATGCTGTATGCTTTGTATTTAACATCCAAATATATCTGAGCTCACTTCCTGGTACTCTGGAACGTCATTGCCACTATGCCATGGAAATGACTGGGGATTCATTCAGGCAGCTGGATTTTGTGGTGTAGAACCATGGAGGGTCACATGAGAGCACATGTCATTCTTTCCAGCTGAAAGAGAACGGAGCAAGCTGACAGCTGGGGGAAGTGAAGCTGTGAAGCCTCCACAGCCTGAAGAGACACAGGTTACTTTAAATATGGCCCAAGTGGTCTGCCACTGTGTCTGTTCCACTTTCCATCCATCCAAGGATGCTGTGTTCTGTTGGAAAGGGGTTTGCTGAGGGGATTTCCAGCAATTAGGGCACTGAAGTGCACATTTCAGTCCTTCAGCCCCAAATTTATCAGGGGCTGTTTGAGGTTACACCTCCGTATCTGCAGAGCGACAGACTGTCAGAGCCTGTTGCAACATAACAAGTGACTTTTTTTCCCTGATATTTCTGAGATCTTCTTTTGAGAAGCCAAGAGAACTCTGTGTGAAATGATGGTGTAATTAGGCAGTAAGTTCAGCTGACCTACTGACCTAATTGCATGGGTGGGTGTTGGATTTGGCTGAGGCTGCCATCTGGTTCCAACAGCAGAGGCCTCGGGCGTGTAAGGTCTGGGTTGAAGGAAAAAGAGAAGTCCAGAAAGTTGGAATTCTTGCTTTGCTTAGTGTCTCGAAACTCGTGATAAGAGATGAGTTTAGGAAACAGTAATTTAGCAATAAAACCAATGGGTAGATAAAGTTTCCATGTTCCATGCTGGAGGAATCCATGGCCAGGGTGAGAATTTGCCCTCAGAGTCAGGGTGTTTCTCCAAAGACAGCTCCATTACACCACTGCTGGGGTGGGTGAGGGTGTTTTCCAAGGGGGGATAATGCCTAACAAATGAAAAGTACTTGCTCTTGTTTATGGTTCCATATCAAAAAGACAGGTAGGAGAGGATTAGCTCCTCTGTCTGTGATAAAGCAAATCTGTTAAAAGGGATTAAAGGGGCTAGATGAAGTGTTTTAATGGACTTATATGAAGTAATAGAGTTTTGTCCTGGAGGAAAAATCTTCTTCAGGACTCACTGATAATTCTGCATTTCTTGTTCTGCTAAAATTGCCTCCAAATTCTAAGGAATCTGATTAATTGTTGGCTTTCTTCCAGCTGCAGCATTTGTGTCAGTCATATGGTGGTGCTTCAGAAAACCTGGAAATAAAATTCTGTTCTGCTCTCACACAGCTGGATTTACCAGCCTTCTTACACAGCACACGGGGCTGCACAGGTCTTGTTCTGATGACCCTGCATTTGGAGGGCAGTTTGCTTTTGGGGCAGCTCGTAATCATTTGTAGTTCTTCCCCGTGGCTGTGTTTCACCTTCCTCTGGCTGGTGGGAGGGGCCAAGGCATGGCTTCTCCCCTTGGCATTAGGTACCCAGCCATGGGGAGCCCGTGGTAAGGAGCTTTCTGCTCTGGAAGGATCTGCTCTGGAAGGATCTGCTCAAAAACCTCGTGATCTCCAGAGTGGTATTTACCCCTCAGTTTGTATTTGGGGTAAACGGATGCAGTGCAGTTGGTTTTCCCAGGAGCTGCCATTCCCACTCCTCCTGCAAAAGGTGTCTTGAGATACTGCCTCATTTACTGACCAATAAATACAAATTGGGGAAAGTTTCCCTGCAAACCACACATGGCTTGGCTTTTCAGTTTAAGTATGTACGGATGAGACACTAGTCTTAATGAATAACTTTTTATTTGAGCATCAGAAAAGAACCAAAAATTCACCTGGATTTCTCAGTATTCCTGATGCATGCATGGGGCAGCATTATAAGAGACAGAGTGTGCTTCCAGGAGAAGTACATATTCCAAAATTAGCTTGAAAGTGTGGTAGCTCTTTATTTTGGAGCAGAGAAACATCCTTTTGGTCAGTCCTTGGAGAAAGGTGTGCCTGATAGCCGTGGCTCTGGCCTTGTAAGCACGGCCCTGTTTTGTGAAGCTTTGTCTACACCTTCGGTGCCCCGACCTGAAAACAAACATCCTGCAGAACACGATGTCAGGAGGCACAAACAGCCTGACAGAGGCTCTGCCCCCAGGGGCTGAACCCCATTGTGTTTGTGCAAGAAGGAGCACAATGGGACATCCTGCCTGACCCCGCAGGGTCGCTGCAGGAGTATGAGCGGGTTTATTCCATGGAATATTTCTTCTGAATGGAGCTGATGGATTTACACCAGTGAATGAGCTGGCCGGGTGACAGGAATGGCCAGTGCTCATAAATGTTAGGATGTCCTTAGTTTGTGGGATAAAGTGACTGTGAGAAGGAGCTGGAGCTCCCTAAATAGGCTGATATTACATAACTGATTAACCACTCAATGGCTGTTTTAAATGAAACCTCCTGTTCTCTGGCACACACTTCAATTTCCAAACCGCCTGAGAGTTCTTGCAGTGCTGTGAGGATTCCTCTTCCATACTCCAAGCAGGAGGAAGACATGAATTTACGTGACCTGGTGAAGGTTCTCTCCAAAGCTTTGTTTCTTGTGTGATGTCTGATTTGTTGTTTTTGGACCTGTGCACTTTATGAGTAGCACACTTGCAGATAAAAATTTATAAACTAATTGCCTGGAAGGAAGGGGAAGTGCTGGAGCTTTTCTCTAACCTGGGTACTGGGAGATTGCACAGTACCTTCTTTTTATAACCAAAGTCTTACCTAAATCCAGTCTCATTTACCTGACCCCTTCCTTTTAGGGAATAATTGTCCATTTTTCTACATGGCATGCAAAGATTTTCTGGATGAAATGTGCTATGACTACAGGAGCACCTGTGCTGTCACTGAGGCACTTTTTGATTTAATACATTTTTACACGTGCTGTATCTCATCCAATTCAAGGTGAGGATAAACCCAGTTAGTCAGGGCAGGAAATACAGGATAGCTGGATGTCATGAATTTGTTCTGTTCCGAAATTCAATTCCAGTATGAGCTTTGCCAAACTTTGGCTGTACTTGGGCTTGAATTTACTGATCTGCCAAGAGTATGTGAGGAAACACTGTTAGAATTGAAAATGCACCAGTTCTGCTGTGTTGAATAGCCAAGGGGTCTCTCTGGAGCAAGGGGTAGCAATGGAAGGTGCCATTCTGGAGTCTCCACAGAGATTTTTGTATGGGCTTTCAAACCTGGAGGCCTGTGTTCTTGTATCCTCACTTTCCATCCTTTGCCCTGTACTGGAGCAGAAGCACTTGCCATGGTAGTTCTAGAGTTATCCATCACTGCTGCCAGGTGCAGGTAAATCCCCTGGAAAAGTTAACCTCATCTGCTCTCCCTCCTGACAGTTCTAACACACTGGGGTTGGGACAACTTTACCTGTTCAGGTGGCAAAAATTGCGAAGTGTCTCAGAGCATTTTGCACTTGGACTTAAATTCTCTTAAATTAACTGTGCCTGACAGAACAGCTCCGAGGGAAACACTTCTCTTTGGCTGCTGGGAAAACTTGGGCTGCAGGGCTGGAGCCACACTCTGAGGCACTGGCACAACCAGGAGCCTTTGACCAGCAGTGTTTAATTACTGAGTCATTCTGTGCAGAGGGATGGATGGATGGATGGATGGATGGATGGATGGATGGATGGATGGGTGGATGGATGGATGGATAGAAGGGAAAAACCCCATCCTTCTGGAAACTAGCACTTTCTGGAGAGTATTTAAAACATGCCATGGATGGGGAGGGTGTGGTGGGTTAGAAGGATTGTTAATACTCTAGGGGGAAAATATATAATCCCAAGACAGGGACCAATTGGAAATGTTCTTGGTACAGCACACTGTACGGTATGATCCACCTGTAATGAACAGTTTCCACATTTATTAGTTTTTGGGGTTTTTTTTTTTCAATGGCAGCGGTGCTGATGTCTGGGTGTCAGCGTCTGGATATGTGGGAAACGAGGTAAGAGCCTAAATAATACATGTTACTTGCAGGGCTGGAAACTAGAGCCATATCCTATGGCCTTCTAATTAAAACTCTTTATTTCCACAGATTTATTCTGTGGGCCTTACTAAATAGATCAGCCTTGGGTTTCTAATGGTGACTACTTGAGGAGGAATGTCGCCTTTGTTCCCCTGAATGGTGGGGAGCAGATTACCGGGCTGCCAATTTCCTGCTGCCTTTCAGAGCTGCAATTTGAGCCCTATTTGCTCCTGGCTCTTGCACAATTGGAAACAATGGGTGGCTTCTTTCAGGTTTCACTTCAGAGCTCTTAGAAACTGGGGAAGTGGCAAAAGCCCTACTTTACAGGTAATTAACAATAGATAATGTTTGCTCTGCGTTCCCCCCCCCTCCTTTTTTTTTTTCCCCGTTTTTTTTTTTTTTTTAAAGAGCCGATAAAGGTAGGAGTGCACACCGAGCTCCCAATCCAGAACCCGCATGGGCAGTTTTGTGGATGCAGTTCCGGCCACAACCCCAGCAAGGTGATGATGTGGGTCAAACCTCCAAGCAAAGGCAGGGAAAGCCACACCAGAAGAGCTGCTGGGCTGGCAGCAATGCTGAGGGCCCTGTTCCAATCAGCCCAGTGTGTGAGTGAGTGTTTGCTGGTGTGAACCTGCTCTTTGATTTAGGGCCCCTTTTTATTGTAGCCTCTATCTCCTTTATTAGGTGCACTCTTCTCATACCTTGTTGACATTTATGTAGGATAGTTAAATGTTTTCTTGGGGATATTCCATTCTAGGAAACCACCTGTCCTGTAAAGTTTATCTTAAATACAGAAGCTTGTTTTACCACATAAAGATAGAAGTGGCTGTTGTTTAATCTTATCTTGCTAATGGAGGGCTACGGATGCCTATGAAGAAGATAGAAAGAGATGCTCTTGCAATGTTATTAAAATTTATCAAAAACTGGATTGGGGCAGATGGACAGTGTCTAAATTGGGATGCTCATGCCTCTCTCTATGTTAGAGGTGCTCTCCTTCCTTACCTCTCTGCCTTAAGACACATCACTGCAGGTGCTACGAACCAAAAAGGGGATGTTTCCAGCAGCACCTGAGGAAAGTCAGTCCCTGCACTCCATCCATGTGTTGCATTTGAACATGTAACCAAAGTATTACAAAATAAATGAAAACAAGAAGCAGTTCTGCGTTTCATGCCTGTGTTTCTGAGTTTCCCATGGGGATTGCAGAATTTCATTAGTTTTAACTGTGAGCATGACTTTTGCTTCTTGTTCTCACCATCTGCAAAGCTTGAACCCAGTAAAATACTTTTGTTTCTCCTCCTTCCTGTTGTAGCTGCCCATCTTTGTACTTACGACTTCAGTGATACCTTTTAGGCTGTAAATCTTACCATAGAAATTGTCCCAGAAGGAGAGAAGGATTGCAGAGCTGCAGCATTTTGGATGTACCTCTGCTCCAGAGCGGGAGCAGATGGAAGGATGTCCATGCCCTCTGTTGCTCATCTTCACTGGGCTCTGAAAAAGAGGAGAAAGAGATTCTGAGCAGAGGCTTGGAGCCAAGCTGTACAGCTGCCTCACTGGTAGGTTTGTTAGGGGATTCTGATTATTCCCCCCTTTCTCCAGTTCCTTGCAGATAATTTAGGAAGATGGAGGAGATGTGAATGAACAAGGTACGTGCCCATCATTCTTCCTGCCTGTGTGCCTGCAGCAGTGCTTCCATGAGATGCCAATGCAAAGGGTTTTTCTGGCTCTTCTGTGCTCATGGACCACACATTTATATCATACAATAAAACAATAATGACAATATTTCCCATGATAGGAGCTGTATGATGGATAATCCTTTCCTCCTCCTGGGTTCTGTGGGCACAGAGACACGTAGGGATATCTGCACACCAAAGGTTTTCCCCTCCTGCCTCTAAGGCCTCACCAGCGCCCTTGGGCAGACTGTTCTTTGTGTCAGCCCTGCTCATAGGTGACGTTCTCCTGAGGAAAATGATGCCTCCCTCATGTTCTTCAGAGGATGTAAATTTGCCAAAACAAATGCTGGGGAGAGGAACGCCTGACAGTTCTGTTTTGATTTTATGTAACCTTTTCAATGCCCTCCCTGCGATGCCTCCCAGATAAGGAGGTGTTGTGCCAAAAAAAGAGAATGGTTACAACTCCTGATGACCTCATCCCATCTCCCTGTTTCAACCAAGGTGCTTTGTGTGATGGGTTACAAGATGTGACATCAGAGTTTTCGGTTTTGTGCCTGCAGCGATGGTGGGAAGCATCCCACGGAGAAAACCCACTTGCTGGGTAGAAAGGGCAGCAGTGAGACAGGAAAAGTGTGAGTGACAACAGCCACAAAGGAAAGGAGGAGTTGGACAAGGCTGTACAGAAATACACCAGAGTCAGAAAGGAAAATCCTTTTTAAAACTCCCTATGTCCTTCTTCTGCCATCAGCTTGCTTTCAAAGCAATCTCTCACAACAGGGCTGCCACAGGCTGTGGCAAGGGCTGGAGGTTAAAGGCTGTCAGGTTCAGCAAATCCTGGAGTTAAGCACTTTCCCAAGTGCAGGAGCCAGGTCTCACCAGGATATGGTTGCAAAGGGAATGTTTTGGGGGAAGTGGCTCTGTCTCCGTTGCCCTCCTGTGTTGGAAATGCAGGGGTGGTCTGTAAAGCCAGACCCCAGATGGAATTTCTTGTCTAAGGAGTCTCAGCTTCAAGTTTCTGCTGAAGCTTCAGCTCAGTCCAGCCATCCAGAGGAGATGCCACCTGGCAAAGGAGAACAGGTGAAAGCACTGAGTCACTTGCAATCATTTCCCTAACAAAAGGGCTCAGTGCTGTCAGATGGTCCATAGCCTGGGGGTTGTATTCTTATCTAGACTTAGGCAGGAAACCATTTGATTTACAACTGGATGTAAGGAATAGGGACTGCTTGCCTCATCTGCACAGTAGATTACTGGCATGTATTTCCCTTAGGTTACAAACCTAAAGGATCCCACATCAGCAAGAGATGGCAGTGTGTGTTGCTGCCTAAGCCAGTTAGGATGCTGAGAACATGGCAGACAGATGCTCCAGAGTCTGTAAATTCAAGGCAAAATGAAAAAATTTGCCTGGAAAGCTCTGAGCAACTCAGTTGGTGGCAAACTCCTTTCTGCCCCTTGAGAACACCTGGGATGCTCCACAGAATTAGAAGTCCCTAACTTCCCACAGCTGAAGGGACACCCAGAACAAGAGCCTTTGGTTATATAGAGGGATATTAAGCTGGCCTGCTTTTCCTGAGGCCGGTCATGGTATGATCTTGATCTCCTTCAGGCTTGCCCTAAGACTGCAGCCTTAAACCCAAGGGTTTATGACAGGAGAGCTGTGCTGTTCTCCTGCATCCCTTCTGGAGCTCCACTGGATTTGGTGAGTCTGTGCTAAGGGTATCAGCTAAAACTGGTCTGTGATCAAGCTACAGGGGCTTGTTACAAGAACTACAGAATCTGCTCCCTGCAAAATGCTGGGTTTGAGTCAGCCAGAGAGACCAAATGGAGGTTCTTACCAACTTAGACTTTGTTGGGTGCCTAACTAGAGCTGAGCCTCCTGCAAGGACAGGGGCTTTGACTGCCTTTTGTGATACAAATGGGGCATGTTTAAAACCCTGTTTGTGGCTGGGAGTGGGAAGCTGTTTGTTGGAGGGTATTAACCGTCTGATAGCATGCCTGGCCCTCATCGAGGTGGCCCCAGGAGCAGGGTAGCTTGGAAATGCCACTTGCAATTAAAACCTGTATTTTAAAGTGCAGTTCTGCTGCTTGTTCACGCTGAGAAGGGTTTTCTATCTTTCAGAGTCTTTTGGTCGCTGGGCTACACTTAATAGGATGAGATTTATTTTTTTCTCCCCCCTCTGCTCCTTCCCCCCTTGAACCACAAAGCTGCCAAGCTATCCAAGAAAGAGGCTTGTAATTAATGCTAAGTGGAGTGGAAAGCAGGGTGGCTGCCCAGCGTAGGGCACGCTCTGGCCTCAAAGAATGCCAGTGGAGCTCTGAAACAACCATTGAGTCTCCAGGTTTTTAATCATGGTACGTGGGAGTAGGAGCTGCCCCCACTGCAGTGAAGCTGTTTGGCTCCGTTGTGGCTGGAATGTGGATATTGTCCTGCTGGGCCATGGCAGCAGCCCTTTCGGTGGGTTTCTCTTGTGGGGCACTCCAGAAAAGGCTGGATTTGCTTCTCTTTAAAGGCTTTGTCTAATTTCCTGCAGGTTGTGACCTTGCAGTTTGGGGCTGTGATCTTCCTGGTGATAACCTCATCATCTCGCCTTGGCCTGTCCCTAAAGGGTCTGTTCCAGGGACACATTTTCTCAGCCATCCCCTCCTCCTTGCACACAGACTTGTTGTTCCAGTAAGTGGTTTCACTTTCTGAAGTGTTGAAAGTGGCTGTTAAAGCAGCAGCTGCCTTAACCTGAGGCTCACCTGCTTTACATTTTGGATTTTTTCCCTCCCACCTTCAAGCTGTTTTCCCACTGGGTTTGATGAGCAAGTGGAATGCAGTTTCCATGTCTGCTATATGGGTTATAGACCTCACCCTGGGCAATAACAGGGCAAGGCTTTTTGCTCAGCTCTCAGAGAGACAGGGAATGTGGTGGGCAATGTCCTTTGCCTGTGC